GTTCCAGCAGTTTTAGGTCCTGGCTTTGTTCTCACTTGTCTCTGGCACTTCCTCCAGGAAGAGAAGACCCCTGGACAGGGGTCTGGGTGTCATGTGACACTGTGTGTGTGTGTGTGTGTGTGTGTGTGGCCTCAGCCTTGCCTGCAGGGTGGCCCTGGAGGCCAGTACTGCACGGGGCTCGCCTGTTCAAAACCCTCTTGGGGCAGAAGCCACCTGTCTGTGGAACCAAGAGGAGCCCCGGGAGCAGTGGATGAGACGAGGGCGGCCCGGATGAGGGCTGATCCCTCCCCAGACCACTCTGGGCCACCAACGGCTCCTACTCAGTGGGCTGAGAGGGAACACAGAGGAACACCGGGAGGAGGAGTGACATTCCTTAAAATCCAGTATCTCGTCTCCCCGGGGAAGTAACACCCACCCCGGGGATGCCGCCGCACCTGCCCCTGTGCTCACTGTGCCCTCCCTCTGCTGGGAGAAGCGTGGCGGTGTCTGATCGGTGGGTGACGGGCTGACCCTGACCTGTTGGTACTTGCCCCGCACACAACACGGATCCGTCTCAAAGGTGCAAACTTGGGGACCTCTTTTCCCTCCTCGCCAGCCTGGCAGAAGGCGGCCATCCTGGAGACTGGGTGTCCTGGGACAGTGCCGAGGTCACACCATGGTGGGAGGTGGTGTTACAGGTTCTCTGGGCCTGAAAACCCAAACCTGTGTCCTCTAGGCAGCTTTATCAGGTGGACTTGACAGTGAGTGGAGGGCGAGTCCAGAGGTCAGGGTCGTGTTTCAGCAGCACAGCCTGCAGCCTACGGGACCCTGGAGCACCCATGGGGGCACCCGCCCCCACCGTTCCCTCTGCGTGGAGGCGCTGTTCCCACCGCCCTCCTTCCTCCTCCTGCTCTCCCAGCCAGTAAAGTGGGCGGAGGTACCCCCACTTTATCCCTTTCTCGCCGCGGTGACACCTGAAGCTGCAAATTGCAAGTCGGCTGTGTCCCAAACACACGGAACGCTGCGCACGAGCCGAGCAGGGGCAGGACAAGTTACACAGAAAGATTCCGTCCATGGGGCACCTGGGGGCTCAGTCAGCTAAGGGTCCGACTTGGGCTCAGGTCATGATCTCGCGGTCCGTGAGTTCGGGCCCCACGTCGGGCTCTGCGCGGACAGCTCGGAGCCTGGAGCCTGCTTCAGATTCTGTGTCTCCCTCTCTCTCTGCCCCTCCCCCGTTCATGCTCTGTCTCTGTCTCTCTCTCAAAAATAAACATTAAAAAAAAAGTAAAGATTCCATTTACGAAAAATTTTAAAACTGGCAAAACGCAATGTTTGATGAAGCTTACTGAGATCGTAACGACAAAACAACCGAGAGCGGGTTTCCTCTAGGAAGAGAAGAGCTTTGTGCGTGAGGGCCCATGGGGGACAGGGGGCTGGCGGGGAGCTCACTTGGGTGGCACTTGCTCCTTGTTTTTGGCGCTTTGCCGTACGCACCCTGCAGCCCATCCACGAGAAACATGACAAGAAAAAAAAAGAAGTCGCACCAGATCCGGTCACCGGGGCATCAGACGCTTGGGCGTTCTGGGGGCAGCGGTGTCCTTCACGGCCAACTCAAGGCTGCCGCCTCGCTCTCTGCCTGATGCGAACCCACGCGGGGCGGAGGCCAGAGGAGCCTGGTCACACCTGACTCCACAGCCCATCCGTCGTTCCCAGTTGTGAACAGCACCCACCGCTCCCACTGGGCCAGCCTGGCCCATTTACCTCCCGCCCAGAGCGGTCTCCCCAGTGCCAGGCACCCATCCCGGTTTGCTCACGTTGGCCCGCACACCCAGGTGGTGCTGGCCAAGCCCGTGGCTGCCAAACCCCAGGCCCGAGCAAACACGAGAAACAAGGCCCCGGGGCACTTGTCCAGAGGTGAGCTTATCCAAGGGCCGTCCTTTCCGGAGACTGGAGTGTGGCCAAGTCCACACGTCAGGGATGCAGATTTTAAGGCATATGCGGTTAAAGTACCTGGGGCCTCACGACAGTCTCGGCTTCTCTGCGTGTTTAAAATTTTCCATAATAAAAAATGAAAATGCCCAGGGCGCCTGGGTGGCTCAGTCAGTTGAGCGTCCGACTTCGGCTCAGGTCATGATCTCACGGTCCGTGAGTTCGAGCCCCCGCGTCGGGCTCTGAGCTGATGGCTCAGAGCCTGGAGCCTGCTTCCGATTCTGTGTCTCCCTCCCTCCCCCATTCATGCTCTGTCTCTGTCTCAAAAAACAAAAACACCCAGGCGTGAAAATGCCCTTTTGTGAAATGACGGTACAAGCCCCGCCTGGCAGATCAGCAGTGGAGACCGCAGATCGGGTTTGTTTCTTGGGGGGGAGCCACACGTGCGGGGGGCCCCGGACCCGAGGAAGCCTCACCAGGGTCAGCCGCGTGCCAAGCGACAGCCTGGCAGCACCCAGGCGAGAGGCTGTCCGCTGCAAAGGCTCTAGAAACCAATTTGAATACCATTGTTGTGTGCTGTAAATCGAGACTTTTTCCAATTTTTAGAACTCACTCGGGAGTTTTAGCCCCTTTTTGTAAGGAATCCCGAACTGAAAGGTGAGAAAGGGACAATTAATCACTCAGTTTGGACGCTGCCTCAGTTCCACGTTACCCATCATTTCTCCAATAAGAGCTCGTTCAAAAGAAGTGAACTCTCGGGGCGCCCGGGTGGCTCAGTCGATCAAGCGTCCGACTTTGGCTCAGGTCACGGTCTCACAGTTGGTGAGTTCGAAGCCTGCGTCGAACGTGCCGAGCCTGCTTGAGATTCTCTGCCCCTCCCCTACTCTCTCTCTCTCAAATAAACTTAAAACAAAACAAAAAACAAAGAATTGTGTGAAAACGAAAAGTGAACCATCACCAGTTACCAGGCACGGCTGCCCCCAGCCGCCAATGTCAGAAATGTTTACAGTGATTTTTATCTACTGTAACACGGGTGCACAGTCACCTCGTCTGTTAGGCCCACTGTGTCAAAACAGCAAGCAGACCCCAGGACCATCAGCTGTCGAGTTAGGGGTGTGGACACCTTTCGTGAGACCTTATCTCACCTACATTCTTGCTTCCCGTCTGGCTTCAGTCTGAAGATCCGGCATCGACCGTTGAGGACAAGAAACATCTCCGTGATGCTGTGCTGGGCCCGGGCTCATCACAAATCACAAGGGATTCAATGACTCTTCCCACGTAAACCTCCACGGACCTGCGGTCTGCCACGGGGAGACTGCTCAGGCCTCTGTGCGGGGCTGTCCCCGGCCCACCGCGGCCCCAGCACACCCAAACCGGCGGGTTCGGGACCAGAAGCCCCCCATGTCCCTCCACTGCAGACCAGTCTCAGGCACGGAGGACGGACAGGTACAGGCTTCCCGGTCACTGTCAGTTCAGCCTTCTCACGTCAGTGGCAACACTGAAAGGCTCCTTTGGTGGGATTTTCCTGTATGTTTTTAATAGACACTTTCACAGGAAAAGGGAATTCTAATCTCAGTTAAGAACTATAAAGTAGGGGCACCTTGGTGGCTCGGTTAACCATCAGACTCTTGATTTTGGCTCAGGTCCTGAAATCACACGTCATGAGATCAAGCCCCGCGTCAGGCTCCGTGCTGACAGCCAGGAGCCTGCTTGGGATTTTCTCTCCCTCTCTCTGTCCCTCCCCACTCATGCGGTGTCTGACATTTAAGAAACACAAAGTAAAAAATTTTCACATTCAGATACAGTGGAAATTACTCCACAATCTTCACAAATTGACCAAATTTGGACAGAGTAACTATAGTGCTGGTACTGATGCCTGGAAGTACGGAGAATGAGAGAACTTACACAAAACTTCCCGTACTGCCGACTCAAAACCGCCATGAATTCATCCCAAATCATCTGCTTACTACCATGCAAAAAATAGGAAAACTCACACCAAACCTAAACAAGACTAGGGATTAATCATTAAAATCACTATTAAAAATTTGATCACAAAAAAAGTGGCTTTCGTGAAAAAGGAAAACAAAACAAAAAAGCCCACGCTGGTCAACTATTTCCTTCCGATACTCGGGCGCCGTCACGGTGGCAAGATGTCTCCTCCTAGGCCAAGGGCAGGGCTGAGACGGTCCCTCGCTCCCCGAACTGCCACTCCCAGCAACTGGAGACCAAGCAGGCGGACGGACCGGCACGCGGACCGAGCAGGTGGACACGTGCACGCCGCCCATCCCGCCCTCCCTGCCGGGTTCCCAGCCCAGTGCGCGGGCGCCCAGGGGTGGCGACAGTCACTGAGAAGCAAGCTGCGGTGCGCCAGAGAGGCGACCTCCTGGGAGGACACGGCGTGGGTGGACCCAGACCGAGCGGATGGCACTCAACGTTAAATGCAGCATGTGGGCGGCCGGCTGGCACCGTGACTACAGTTCGGGGACAGTGACATGGGCGCAGCCCCGCACCAGAGGGCGTCTCTGCCCAACCCACTCTGGCAGGCTGGTGACGAGCCGGTGGCCGGGGTGGAACACAGGAACGGGGCCGGCGGCTCTTGTGCAGCCCCGGGCACATCCACGTGTAGGCCCCATTTCGGGACAGGCCCTGTGCTTCCGGACAGCACGGAGGCTCTTTGAACGAGACTAGAAGATTCCTGGGTGAGAGAAACGGGACACGGATGGGGCCACTGGCGGCACCGGACCGAAAGCCTTCTCTCCTACGGACGCCGGCACGGCCACCGTCCCGTCCAAGTGTCACTCACCGACCCTGCGGGAAGTCCAGGGCGCGGACCCCGGGTTCCCCGCAGCAGGGTCTCCGGCAGCCTCGGCGGAGAAACGCCACGTTACTCGCTCGCACGTCGGGCACTGGGAACAGGCACGACCGTTGCTCGCGTGAATTTTCTTTCCCCTAACGGACGGGGCGCTTCATCTCACATCCTACGAGTCTAACACTGGTTCTGTCTATTACCCAAGACCCTCCCCCCCCAAAACGGACGGCGTGTGCTGCAAAGGAGGAGACCGAGGCGGCCCGCAAGAAAGGACTACACCGAGTACTGTATCACTACAAATTTTATTCAGAAACCCATCTTTGTGTTTTTTTGTTGTTTTTTAAAAAAAATTCCCGTTATGAACTGGTTTGGTCAATCAACTACAACACTGCCTAGCAGACATACGGTAAAAACGGCGTGGCTCAGAATCGCCCCGATCTTTCACGGTCTCTCGACCGCCTCCTGTCACGCTCCCGTCCCCCACCGCCGCCGCCGCCGCCACCGCCGCCGCCACGACCGCGGTCTCTAGACCGAGAGCGACGCTCCCGAGACCGGGACCTCGATCTATGCCTGCAACCAAGGAAAAGAAACAAAGCTGTGGCATCCAAAGCAAAGCACACAACAAAGCCCCCACGCGGGCGGACGCTTCTGGGCGGACCCCGCGGAACGGATGGCACGATCAAGGAGGACCGTCGCGCCCGCCACACCGCACGCCCCGTGTAGACACGCCCCGTGTCAGGGAAACGGGCACAACGTCCTCCGTGTCCCGTGCTTCCAGAGCGCCGGCTCAGGGCCTTGGGGACGGTCTCCCGCCGCGGCGGCCCGGACACGCACCGCCCTCCTCCTGTGCCCGATGCTTCTTGTTGACAATGAGACGCAATCACTTAACGTCTGCACCTCCGGGCACGTGTTTACCAGGGGACGGGTGAGAACCCCCCGGGTCAGAACTCCATCCGAGCAGGGAAAGGGACGGTCTCCCGACACCTTGGGTTTCTCTCTGTGCTGGGACAGCACGGTCTGCACTCAAAACACCAGGAGCGGGCCGGACCGTGCTCCCCCTTCTGCCCGTGGCCGCAAGCAAACCAAAGAAACCTGCCCAAACCCACGGACACCCGCAGTACGTAAAGGAAGTCACTCCACCTGCGGGCAAAAGACGCTGCGCACACGAACCCAATTTCGAGGGTTCCCCACTCACCCGTTCCCTCACTTCGGGACTGTGCGGGCGGGACATCCTTTTAAGGGCACGTTCTCAGACCTTAAGATACACACTACGTCCTCAACGGTGACCTTCACACCCGGGCCGAGCTCTCCTCGGGAAACGCTTCGCGAGAACGGACGGCGCCGCCAGCGGCAGCCAGCCCGCCGCAGTACTCACTTCTTGCGCCGGCGCCCGTACAGCTCCCGCCGCAGCTCTCTGGAGATGGGCTTCAGGTGCATGAAGTTGCAGAAGCCGCCCCGCGTGCACTCCCTGCGGGGGAGACAGAGGCCAACATGCCGCGGGCCGCCCCCCCCCCCCCCCCCCCCCCCCCCCGCCCCCCCCGCCCCCCCCCCCCCCCGCCGTCACCTACCCCATCTCGTACTGGCGGCAGCACGCCTCTCTGAAGTCGGTCACTGGGGACAGCTCGGCGTGGATCGGCTGCCCGTTAAACCAACGGTTGTTCAAGTCGATCACGGCCTTCTCCGCGTCTTCTTCACGGCGAAACTGGAAAGATAGATCAAGAGGGCTTGCTGCCCCCACCTGACGGGAAGGTCTCCGGCTACCGAGCCATGGATACGCGTTCACGTGGCTCAAATGAGGTGGAAGGATGTCTTAGATCACGTTAAACACAGATCGTCCTTTACTTGCAACTGGATCACTTAATTTCGCGATGATCCAAGATCGTACCGACACTGCCTTGGTTTTCAAACTCAGTTGGTTAACAAGAGCAAACGCAAGGATTTATTTAGACCGGGAAGTTAAAAAAAAAAAGGGGGGCGGGGAGGGAACCACAGGTATAAATCGACTGACTTCTCCCGCGTCTAGACAGCCTGTCAGCGGCACCCTCCGAAGGTCCCAACCCTGAAGGGCGGTGGCCGCGGCGCCCACAGGCGGCTGCCACGCCTGGGCAAGCCGGCCGGCGCGCTCCAGTTCCAGTTCCCGCTAAGATCCCAAGGCACCAGCCTCCTCCTCCCGCCAGTCGGGAGGGAGCACTCCCACGGGGCACGCCCTTCCTACCTTGACGTACACGTTCCCGACGAGGTGGTCTCCCAGGTTGTCACAGACGTTCATCTCCTCCACCTCGCCGTACTTCTCCTCCATTTCTGTAAAAACCTCCTGCGGGGAGAGGACGGCGGCGGCTTGAGGGTCCCGACCCACGGGAGACGCACCCCCCCCCCACCAAGCGCCAGTCGCTCACCTCAAAAAACTCGTCGTAGTGCTCCTGCATCTCCACGTCGCTCACCGCGCCTGCGGACGACAGACACCTTGCTGGTTAGAGCGGGACCCCCGCCCGCAGGGCTCTGCGTTCACCCCAACTGCCACCGTGACACGTTAGTTATCTAGAGGAGCCGCGACAGCTGCGCTCTCCCGGAGCGCGGAGGTGCGGCGTGACAGCCAGTGGTTACAATTTTAAAGTGTGCTGAGGTCTTTAAGTGCCCCCTTATGACCATCTCCATTCTGGCTATGAAAATGACAAGTTTTAATCAGCATCAAAGGGCCACACTTTCAGAAAATGTAAGGAAATCATTTACTCTCAACAAATTTCTAAATGAAAGTCTTCTTCCTTTTACGGTTTAAAATAGCGGCCAAGGAATCACACTGGTATGTTCTTCCTCTTCATTACGTTAAAGTAACAGTAGAAATCAGCATCAAGCGATTAAGGGCTAATGTTCCTGACTAATTTCTTTTACAGAGTATCAGCCACACACTATTACCGAATTCTTTCTGATGCGATTAAAACCCAAATGACCATAAATACTCAGTAAGATAATTACCAAGTTCAATCACAGTTACCTCGAATGCCTCTGGATAGAGGGATGGTTACAATGCTTTGTTGAAGAAAGCATTCTTGTTTTATATTCCAGGACTATTTTCAAGTTTATTCTTCATAATTCACATGCACTAAGCGAAATCATGTCCATTGTGTGGGTAGATTTTTTCGAATTTACATTCTATCCCCCAAATCATTCTCTCTACAAAATTTTACCATTCAGATTCTAAAATTCTCTTGCCCTAAATCTGAGAAATCACAAAGCGGGCACGTCAATTAAACCAATGTTGCACACAGCTAGATGGGGGCAGCCTACAGAGGCGAGTGGCTTCAAAGCTGGGCCAGTTTAACCTTCAGTCGTCACCTTCCAAGGCCACACTCCTTGGACTGGCGGCCTCACCTGCCACACCCACTGAAGGCCAGGGGGCCGAGGCAACACCTTGGAGCAGTCTCCTAGGGCCCAGGAAAACCTTATCTTTAAGGACAAGCACTTGAGTCTTTTGATTCTGAGAATGGCTTAAATTTTTCTCATTCACGGGGGAGGGGCGAATTCCTGCATTTTAGTTATTTTTGAATTTCAGGAACCCAGCTGGCTTTAGAAGCCCAAAGTGAGCAAATGCCCCGGGCAACAACTACTCCTCTAGGTGGCTCTCGTGAATTTAACCCCCTTCCCTGAGTTGAAATCAGGTTGCGAACAACAGAAAAACTAGTCAGGAGAAAAGAAGGCCATTCCAAAGGGCAGATTTCAATGTTTCCATTCCCTTCTCCACGTTGGAAAAAAATGAGAAAACGTATTTGCACGCTCTCAGTGCCAGCAGTGTTGAGACTCAGTGCTGGTTAAATTACTGTTAGTCTCTTACTATAGAACAGCATTTATTTTAATAACTCCTGGAAAGTCCGACTGGACAATGCTTGATAATGGGCATACTTTATCTTCTATACTCCGCTTAAAATTTTTCAACCAAATGACTAGAAGAACAGAGATGACCAGTTAAGAAATTGGTCACCTGAAGAGTCATCCCCACGACTCAATATATTTTAACTAACGTGTTCCCCAGATACCAGTTTTCTTACGGAAGCACTCCTAAACTGGGATTTGTACTTCTACACGTGGAAGGGTATGCTAACAAGGGTTGTGAATCTAGGACCCGGATGAACCTGGCTGGATGAAATTTACTCGGAGGCTCTGCTGCAGGTTCACCAGCTTAAACTGATTTTCTTCCTAAATCGAAGAATCAGAATTTCACCTAATTTGTAGAATGTGGGCCCCATAACGGGGATATCTGGTACAGCTAAACCTTGGGTAGCATACGCAAAACAAGAGTACTGCGGATCGCAGATAAAGACACGAAGAATACTATGACGCTGTTTTGTCAGCGAAGCCCCCCGCCCCCCTCTCCCCCACCCGCAGTCCCCAAGTACAGAGTCAGGGCAAAGAGTGATTAACTGCTGTTACTCAACCGTCAGCTTCCCATTCCTTTCAGCCCAGGGCAGGGTTCTTACAGAAACTAGTAAGTCCATATATAAGCATTTCCCTCCGCCTGCTCATCTGAGTTCTTTAAAAAACAAAGCAAAACCAAGTATTTTGAAACAAGGGCTACCAAGCAAATCCCGCCACCGTCAGATTCAGGGAAACACACGATCTGCTACCGGGTCAGCACAGCACCGGGAAGCACAGCGTGTGGGCAGGAGAGCCTCACGAGCCCCCTCCCCGGGCACGTGCACTGTGCACCCACAGGCGCGCAGAGGCGAGGCCTCCCCGTCTGGGGCCAGCCCGAGGGGGAGGGGGTGCTGCGGGGCCCGCTCCGCTCTGTGGACCGCCTTGTACACTGAGGGGCCCCGGGCCAGAGGGGGATTTGCCTGATGCCTGTGGCTATGCAGGGGTTACATGTACACAGCGCCCCCTACTGACCTGTAGTTCTAAAACCACCTGGTGAATGAATGGCAAGGCGTCGGGGTAGGACCCCTTGATTTTAACAGGGGTCTAGGATATGTTTCAATTTACCTACGGATGACTGAATCGATTCCACAGCCCAATGGCCAGAAAATATACGCTTTAGCTTTCTGAAATTCCCAGGGGTACTGCTATGTATAGTGTTCTTGAAAAACTACCCCTCAGTAACTACAATGTTCGTGAACTTAACTTTGATGTTTCCCAGTACAGGAAGAAATCGTAATGTCTACAAAATGCCCCGTTCAGACCTATTTCCCCACCAAGCACACCTTTCATCTTCCAACTGTGGTACACTAACTCCTGAGGTTGGAGACAGCTACGTAAAGTATCTGATTAACGACTGAGTTGGCATGGGGCTGGGGCTGGGGCTGGGGCTGGGGCTGGGGCTGGGGCTGGGGCTGGGG